CACCCCACTTTGCCGCATAGGGGGCGCGCAGAAATTCGCGCGTGTCTGTGTCGCGCGTGTCTGTGCCCTGCGCAAGAACTGCTGTAACCTGCCCAGCCGCGCGGCGGACAGTGAGAGCGAGTTGCTGTATCAACAGGCGGCGAGTCTCGTACCCGAGAAGAATGAGGAGGCGGAGGAGGGGGAGCAGGAGGAGGAGGAGGAGGAGGAGGAGGAGGAGGAGGAGATGGAGGAATAGGAGGAGGATAGGAGGAGAGGGAGGAGGAGGGAGGGAGAGGAGGAGAGGAGGAGGAGGATAGAGGAGGAGGAGAGAGGAGGAGGAGAGGGAGGAGGGAGGAGGAGGGGGGGGGGGGGGGGGGGGGGGAGGAGGCGGAGGGGGGGGAAGAAATGAGGAGGAGGAGGAGGAAGAGGAGGAGGAGGAGGAAGAGGAGGAGGCGGCGGCGGAAGGACGCGTCCTCCTCCGACGCCGCCCTTCTGAGGGTGCGTCGACGGGCACGGCCGGGCCCGGGGCACGGGGAGGCGAGCACGCCTGGCCTGGGCCCCAGGGTCGGTTAAGTGGCCAGCTCGGAAGATGAGAGCATGTCAGCCGGCGTTGGCCCCACACAGTGCGTTATTGAGCTGTTGAGATGGACGCTGTGTGATGCAAGCCGTTTGGTGTAAGGTGCAAGCCGTGTCATTGGAGCTGGGTGGTGCGAAGCAAGGATGTTGTGTTCTGTGTTGCGTCATCCGTGCGGTGCGGGCTAGATGGTGCAAGCGACAACGTGGCGGCGACGGGCGGGAACGGGGCCAATCCTCTGGACACCTACCAAGCGCACGAGGTGGCAACGAGGCGGCAACGGGCGGCGGACCCCCCAAGCGCGGTGAGCGGCAACGGGCGGCAACGTGGCAAAACCTCAGCGGATCCCCCCAAAGCGAGGCGGGCGGCAACGAGGCGGCAACGGGCGGCAACGTGGTGAAACCTCGGCGGTTCGGCTGGCCCCCTGATCGCGGTGGGCGGCAACCAGGCAGCAACGGTTGGGAACGCGGCGAAACCTCGGCGGATCCATCCAATTCCTTGGTGATCCAAGTAAGAACTTCTGAATGCAGGCAGTGCTCAAAGGATCATCATGACAATGCACTTTCGGAGATTGGCGGGCATTTCTTGGGTCGGCGCTGGACCCCCTCCCTGGCGCGCGCGGCGCGCCACGGCTGGCGCCGGAGGCGCCGCCGGGGGTTCCAGAGCCGACCCGACAATTCCCTGCGCAGCTCCGCAGCTGTATGTTCGCGTTGGACAGTTGACTCCACCCCTAGAGAGGAAGAATAATAATAATAAGAAGAAGAAGAAGACGACTGATAATAACACGATTAATAAGACGGAAAACAATAATAATGATAAAAACAAGGGGTAATAATACAAACCATCACAAGACAGCTCGCCGCTTGGGCCCCACCGCCAGCCCGAACGGCGAGCATAAATCGGGCGTAGCACCGCACGCATTCGAATGCCCGCACTTCGTCCTCGTACTACTCGTACTCCCCCCCGTGCACATGTTGATGGAATATACAACATATGTCGTGGATGCTTTGCCTGCGCGGCGCGTCGCATTACCCCCATAGTTTTTCTTTGGGGTCGGCGGCAGAGGCGACAGCCTTTCATTAAAACGGTCTCCAATTGTTTGCGCCTGGGTAGCCCTCGGCGGCCGAGAATAACAAATAAGACCGTCTCCTATCGGTTGCGCCACAGGTTGCGCCCTCGGCGGCCGAGAATGCAACCGTCTCCTGTCGGTTGTGCCATAGGTTGCGCCCTCGGCGGCCGAGAGTGCAACCGTCTCCTGACGGTTGTGCCATAGGTTGTGCCCTCGGCGGCCGAGATCAGAACCGCCGCGCAACGGGTGCGACCAGTCTGCTCAGTTCGGCTCAGCTCAGTTAAGTTCTATCAGTTTGTAAAGGGGCCCTGGGACACACAAATAAATACACACAAATGAAAATATTCCCCATAGTTTCCCATATTTTCTGGGTTTTTGTCCTCCCCACCACTTCCCATATTTTCGCATATTTTCCTGGGAATCGACGATTAATTGTGTCTGTGTGTTTCTTCCCTCCTGAGTTTGCCTCGCGAGAAGCAAGTGCGGGCTACGCCCGACACGAAGCATTCTGCCTGCGAGCCGCGTGCAAATTCCAGCGGTTGGCAACGGGAGGCGTGCACGCCGGACACTGGGCCCGCGATCGCCCCCTGCCGGATGCTCGGCGGCGAGGCGGTCCGCCGGCGCCCCGCGGGACTCTTGGCTCCCACATGCGGATTTTGGATGGAAGCCCAAACATACCACCAAAAATGCCCCCGAATGGCCCAGAAGTGATTGAAAAATCGCCCCAGTACTATTTCTTGACATTTGTCGAATACTCCTCATGTAGAGAGACTCTTTTTCGTATGTTCTGGGTAACGGCTGTTCGGGGGGGGGGGGGAGGGCTTGGGCCGGCGGGTAGGCGGTAACGGCGGCCGCGGCGTGCGCCCGCCAGGACGCGCTGCAATCCCTGCGCCCGCCAGGACGCGCCCGCTAGGACGCGCCCGCCAGGCCGCGGCGTGCGCGCTGCAATCCCTGCGCACGCGACAATGCCAAACGCACTCGTGCAAGACAACGCCACCCGATTGCGTCACAGTGCTTCGGTACACCACAACAACTGCGTGTACAACGCCACCGCGTCGCCCATGTGCGCCGCAATATCCGTGCATACTGCAGCAACCGTGTGCGCAACAGCGCTTGTGTACACCTCATTGCCTGCGTGCGCCACAGCGCTTGTGTACACCGCAGCGCCTGCGTGCACCACAGCAACCATGTGCACCACAACGCCTGCGCACGCCACACTGCTTCCGTGCACCACAATGCCTGCCTACAACAAAACGTGCCAACGTGCACATCAGTAGCTTGCGAAGCCTTTTCTTCTGGGCCCGCCACAAAGACCGCGGAAACCCTCACCACGTCGCCCGTGTACACCGCCGTATTTGTGTATAGTGCAACAGCCGTGTGCGCCATAACGCCTCTGTGCACCACATCTTCTCCGCTTCTTCCTCCTCCTGCGTCTGGTCCTCCTCCCCCTCCCCCTCCTGCTGCTGTTGAGGACTCCACTACATCTGGACGTCGCAGCGGAGAGTATTACAGTATCGATGGCACACAGGCTGCTGGGCTGTCACTCTGAAGTTTTGGCAAGACCATCCGTAGCTTGCTTCGAACGAGACGGCCAAGGGGATACGAAAAGATATGCGAGGAGGGGGGAAACTCGGGAGCGAGGTGAAGGAGGCGGGAGGCGGGAGAGAGTGGGGGAGGTTGGAAGGAGGTGAGAGTTTTTTTTTGTCGAATGGCGCATGAAAGGATAAGAGCAAACAACCACATGGCTCCTGGTGAGAGGAGGGGGGTCCGCCCTCCACCCCCAAAAAACCTACGATCGTTGGCGTTACCTGGGGGGGAGGGGGGCGGCAAACAAGCGTTACCCGCCAGAGGAACAAAAAAAACGCTCACCATGCCCGACTTCACCTTTCGCCGCACCCTCGGGAGCGCGGGCCGTCTCGAGCACAACACGGGCCTGGGGGGAGCAAGCAGGCACCGACCCTGAGATCCTGGTGTTGCCACTCTTTCACAACGGGGGCTTCCGCTCACCGTCGGACCCCGGGACCTTCACAAACCGATGCGGCTCGAAGAGTGGCGCAGACGGAAGCCCAGGCGTGATGTTTTGCGATGTTTTGTTTTTTTTGGGTGCCACGTCGGACCTCAGGGGAAAGCCGCTGCTCCTCGGGCCTCTCCCGGGGAGCGTTCGGACCAGAGCTTCGAAAAGCGACTTCGGCCGTGGCGACGTGGGTGTCCCAGAAGGCTCCATGGAGGCCGAACACGAGGCAAGGGTGGAGCGGTATCGCTACGCGTTCCTCCTCGGAGAGCCTTCGAGCGCTGCACTGCGGCACCGCCTTGCAGCCCGGCCCACCGACTCCAGATCCGCCGTACATTGGTTGCTTTTTTCCCGGCTTCGGACATGTGGGAAACTCGCCATCGCTCGGACGTCCGTTCCCTGTGTTTTTTTTCGGTTTCGTGCGTGGATTTTTCGAAATGATCAAGGATGCTCCTCGATTGTCCTCGCCGAAGGAAAAATACACACGTCCGAGCGATGCCAAGGAAATGCACCCCGCACGATGTGACAACGCAAGGCACGAAAATACGCCCCGGCCACGTCAGGGCGGACACTTCCGCAGGGCTGTGGCGGAAACAGCGACGGCAAAGTAGGGCGGACAGCGACACCAAAGGAGACTGCGAAGCAGGGCGGGGATGCCCGCCCGACGTGCGAGACATCGCCCAGGAAGCACGGCGGTTCCGGAGCTGGGGCCGGCCCAGCAGGTGGCTGGGCGCAGCTCCGTGCCAGACCTGCACTCCCCGAACACCGAGGAAGGAAGGACGCACGGGTGAAACGATACCGGGAAAACCAGAAGGATACAGTCAACCCGTCTACTAGACGCCCGTCTCGAAGCTTCTCGCGCTGGGCGCGGCCAACGACCGTCTCGAAGTTTCTCGAGCTGGGCGCGGCCAACGACAGTTGCGAAGACTGGAACGAGGAGGCGAGGATGCAAGGGCACCCTTGGGAAGGTTGCCAATGCTTACTATGCGGGTTGACCGTACCGATTCCGCTGCTCCCGGACCTCTCCCAAAGTGCGTTCTGACAACAATTCTTGGGCGAGTCCGGCGGCGGCGACGCGGGCGTCCCAGGAGGCCTGAAAACGGGAGAACGAGGGAAGGATAGTATCGTCGATGCTCGAGCCCCGATCCTCCTCCTCCTCCTCCTCCTCGATCCTCCTCCTCATCCTTCTCCTCCTCGATCTTCTTCCTCCTCCTCCTCCTCGATCCTTCTCCTACTCGATCCTCCTCCTCCTCGACCCTCCTCCTCCTCCTCCTCCTCCTCCTCCTCCTCCTCCTCCTCCTCCTGCTCCTCCTCCTCCTCCTCCTCGCCGCTCCTCCTCGCTGCTCCCCCTCCCCCCTCCATCCCCCTCCCGAGAGGGAAAAAACAACAAAGGCTCGGCGCCGAGCGCTGCTCTGCGGCACCCGCTCGGCCGGCCGAGCGAGCCCTCCGCGCCGCGAGCGGCCCCCTCCGCGCAGCTCAGCGCCGGCCAGGGGCCGGAGGCGGCCCGGCCGCCGCCGCGGCGTGCTGCGCGGCCTGGCGCAGGAAGGCGCCGAGGCCGCCTCGGCGGACGGCGACCAGCGGGAAGGCCTGCTCTTTCCGCCCCCTCCTCCTCCTCCTCCTCCTCCTCCTCCTCCTCCTCCTCCTCCGCGTTCCTCCTCCTCCTCCTCCTCCTCCTCCTCCTCCTCCTCCTCCTCCTCCTCCTCCTCGTTCCTCCTCCTCCACCACCTCCTCCTCCTTTTTCCCCAACCCTCCATGGCTGGGTATTCGTTTGGAGTAGAGCACTGCTCGCGCGTCCTTCCTTCTTTCCTACCTTCCTTCCTCCCGCCTCCCGTCTCCTCCTGCCCTCTCTTCGCCGTCGATGGGGGCTGCGATCTGCCACACTGTCGCAGCTCTCGAGGGCTGCTGGTGGGTCCAGCGGACTGGGGCACCGCGCAGATCTGAGCGGGACCTTGCCGTCCCTGGGGAGCTGCGATCTGCGAAACTCACGCCACTTTCGAGGGCTGCTGGTGGGTCCAGCAGACTGAGGCACCGCGCAGATCTGAGCGGGTCTTCGTCGTCTTTGGAGGCCTGCAATCTGCGAGACCGTCGCTATTTTCGAAGGCTGATGGCGGGTCCAGCGGAGTGAGGCGCCACGCAGATTTGAGCGGGACCTTGCAATCCTTGGGGGGCTGTGAGCCTCACGAATGTCGCTCGCAGAAGTGTATGCGCCCAGTTCACGTCATCACCTCCGTATAACATCATTCTCCAGGGGTTGGGTACGTCGCCAGGGTAATCGACGTTGATCGGACTTCATGCTCGAGCACGCGGCGTTAGGCCTAGGACAAACAGCACTGGCCACTGACAGGTGCAGAACATCAGGAAGGCGGAGAGGTGGGCAGATATTAGTAGCCTATGAGGGCGAGAGTAACCCAGCCCGCGACACGAGGAGGTGAGGATACCAGAGCAAGCAAATTGGAAGTAATGCGATACATGCAGGGAGGTACTAATAAGGGAGGCGAGATACGGCTGCAGGTGGTCTGGCAGGGAAGCCCCCGCGATCTCCCGCAAGCGCTAAACATGTAAGCTGACACCCTTTATGTTGGGAGCACGACATGCACAGCTAACATGCGACACGTGAGAGATATAATGGTATAACATACAGCATGTTCGATGCCTGCGATGTAAAATCGAAGCGTGTGAGGCTGTTGCTTTACAAGGCTGGCCTGTACGCAAGCAAGGTGCGAAGTACGCGGAGGTCGAGGCTAGGACTGCAAATGAAACTTGGCAATGCCAGGAGTAGCGGAGCCAACCAAGCCAGCAGCAGCAGAGCGAGCGTCCTCCGTGAATGCGGGTGCTACCCTGCCCGCAGACCCCTGCGTGGGGAAGGTCGGCGCAGGTCGGGCCCGAACGTCCACTGACGTCAGCTCCACCAGTTTGAACTCAGAGAACACAGCTAGGCCGTGCTTAGATTACGCAGCTACTCAGAGCTAGCCAGAGCGTCAGTCACCCAGACATCGGCCCGACAGCTCGATCGATCGATCGATCTTTCTCATCCCTGCGACCTTCTTCTTCCTCCTCCTCCTCCTCCGTTATTATGCCTCCTTCGTTTTTCCTCCTCCTCCTTCTCCTCCTCCTCCTCCTCCTCCTGTCTCCTCCTCCTACCGCAACGCCCTGGGAAAATACCGCAATTCGAATCGTCGACGTGTGGGTTCTCGTCACCCTCGAAGTTCCATAAGGCTTGGCCTCTGGGGGCCGCTTTCGGGCCCCAGGGGCCGTCAGAAAAGGAATCGGGATGAACAACCTCCCCCCGGGGGAGTTCATCTCGACGATTCTCCGACACGACCCTCAAAGGTCGCAGCATTTCTCCAGGGGGAAGCTGCACGGTGCGCGAAGCCCGACTCCCGGCGTCGACCCGAGAAGCGTGGCGACGGTGCGAGCCGGGCGGACGCGCAGCAAGGGCGGGCAGGTGCGAGGTCCCGGGCCAGGGGCGGTGTGCTGCCTTTTGTTCGGCCTCGGGGAGGCGCCACGTTCGGGCCCCGGGCCTGTCGAGATCGGATCCAGGGGGGGGGAAGCACTGCACCAGGACAGGGCCCTGAGCGCGGGCGTGCAGGCGGACTGCCCACGAGGGCCTGCAAGCCTCAAGCAGGGGCTCGGCTACAGAATCGACTTGCCCTGCGTAAACTTGATTCGGGCGTGGGCAGAAGGGACCTGGTTTAGTGATGAGTACTGGGGGTCCCCCCGAGGCCACGTTCCACTAATAACCAGAACTGCCGTCACCCGAAAAAACAGCAGCTACGGCAGACCTGGTTTCGTGATTCTGTGCTATTGAAAAGGCTCCCGGGCCCTACTACTCACCCGGTCACCTTACCTGGGGTCCTGGCTATACCCGATTGATGTGCCCCAGAAGTTGATTCTGATCTGCGAAGATGCAGGGTAATCTACGTGCAAACTTTGCGGTATAATCGACGGAAGAGACCATTTTTGGGAAAACCAGTGCTGTAACCAGTCGATCCCCTGCTCGAGAGACAGCTAACATGTGGAAGGAGAAACTGTCATCACTTATGTTGCATCCTCGGGGGAGCTTGTCTGTCCCGTCGCTGCCCTATCTGCGTCGAATTCGGGTCGAATCCATATCGGACTCGTCGAATCCGTTTCGACTCCGTATCGCATCCGCGTCGAATCCACGCCAAATCCACGTCAAGCCCGCATCGAGCCCGCGTCACGCACACGAAAAGATACCCATTTTGGGGACAGGCGAGGTCCCCCAAAGATGCAACGTAACAACTCGACGTATCTCGCGACGAGCTTGCACTGGCCGCGCACCTTCCAGTTCACTGGTTAGGGCGCCTGCGCGTTACTCCAGGTGAAGAACATATTTCACCTCCTCCTCTTCCTTCTCCTCTTCCTCGCTCCTCCTCCTCGCTCCGCCTCCTCCTCCTCCTCCTTCTCCTCCTCCTCCTCCCCTCCGCATCCTCCTCCTCCTCCTCCTCCTCCTCCTCCTCCTCCTCCTCCTCCTCCTCCTCCTATTCCTCCTCCTCCTCCTCCTCCTCTTCCTCCTCCCCTCCAACTCCTCCTCCTCTTCCTCCCGCCTCGCTCCGCCTCCTCCTCCCCCCCCCCTCCTCCTCCTCCTCCTCCTCCTCCTCCTCCTCCTCCTCCTCCTCCTCCTCCTCCTCCTCCTCCTCCTCCTCCTCCTCCCTCCCTCCTCCTCCTCCTCCTCCTCCTCCTCCTCCTCCTCCTCCTCCCCCTCCCCTCGTTCCCCCTCCGCGGCCGCCCCCTGCTTCCCACTTGTCACCACTCTGGCGTGCCGCTGCCCTGCGCCGCCCGCTGGCCGACCGAACGCGATGGCGCCAGTCCTCGCCGCGGAGGTCTCGAGGAGACCCCTGGAAGCTGCCGCAACCCTGCCTCCTACCCCTGCACAGCTGACGTCAGGCTGTCTCGTTTTTTTTCGGGGGGAACTATCGCAGGGGTCTCGAGATGCCTCGGAGTCCATGGGCCACAGGCACACAGGACGGGTCGCCGCGCCACCTCCACAGCTGACGTCACGCTGGCTTCTTGACGTGACACCTGGGGCTCTCGCCCCCGGTTCCCAGGGGGCAGCTGTACATCTCAGGTCGCTCTCTGTTGTCGAGCCTTCGGCCTGAAACGGGCCTCCCAGACAGCCCACGAGCGGAACATGACTGACCGTTTGTTTGCGACGCTCCAGTCTGAGTGAGGCCACTCCGGCGGGGCCAGAGTGGAGAGGGTGAGAGGATCGCCCCTCATCGCCGATGCATCGTTGAGGAATCGGCGACGTGGGGATGGACAAAACCAGGCTCTGGATCGCGAGGCGAATCCAGCTGTGACGCCGAGGGAAGGGTATCGGTATCGGTACCTTTTTTCTTATGATGGGCGGCCTGGGCAATGGTCCCGCTCCAGAAGTCACTCCCGCGAAGGGCCACTGTTACATGCAAGTCGACCTCCTGCCCTTCCTCCCGGCCTTGGCTGGCGAAGCCAGGAAGACCGGCGCCAGCGGGACCAGCCGCGCCACCCTGGTTGGCGAAACCGGCGAAGAGGCTCTGCATCTCGCACGGGGGGGGACAAGGACAGAGGCCTCCTATCGGGGATGGACAGACCCCCCTGTGGTAAAACGTGGTTTAGTGAAAACGACCTGAGGTCCAAACCTGGCGGGCGCAAGCCTGGAAAATGACGGCCACGGCGCCCTCTCGAGAACCGAAAACGGACAATTCACTAATCGACGTGTCACTGTTGGGGGTTCTGTCCGCCCCCGATCCTAAATGGGGTCCGAGCAGATGGGGTCGGAGGATCGCGCCGCATCGCCGATGCATCGACGATGCATCAATGATGCGTCTCGGCACCGTCGGCGGTGCCATCGGCGAAGCCGGCGTGGAGAAAAATTGGGCTCCACATCAGGCCGCATCGCCGATGCATCGGCGATGCGCGCGATGATTCGACCCATTTGCTCCGATCCCATCGAAGAGGCCTACAGAAGGAAGAAGGGGCAGGGGGGGGAGCGAATGGCAGCAGACTTCGGGAGGACGGAGTTCTTCTAGCCTGGCACTCTGTTCGGCCTCAGGGAGCCGCTCTCGGCGGGCGCATGCCTACGAGTAAAGAAAGGGTCGAGAGAGGCTGCCGAACCTCGCGGCTCGAAAGGTCGATGCGCTGGGAAGGGAGGGTGGGAAGGAGCGGTGGTGGAGGGAACGGGAGGGGGAGCGAACGGGGAATCTATAGCAGAGGCCCGAAAATCAACCCTCATAAGAATCACCACGACAAGCGAAGTCATGTCGTAAACGCGCCCAAAGGAGGAATCGAGCAGGGCAGGGCTGCTTAGTAAACGCCCAGGGACGTTTGGCAAACGCCAGCTATCGGGTCTGAGTTTTTTTGTTTTCTT